TCCTGCTGTGAACGCATTAACTACAAAATCCATAGCTCAGCGATCACACTAACATCACGTCAACCCTGGTGACCTTCACGTGCAACACAGCTACCTATTTTGGGCACCTGCTGCTGCCCAGAACTGCAGCTTACAAGAGCCACGCAGGCTCAGCAATGCGAACACATTGATTTCCTTCCAATAGCAGCAGCCCTCCAAGGCAAACATTTTTCCTGGTGATATTTTAAAATAATCATACTGATAAGTTTAATAAGGAACAAACGTTTCAACTGTTAATTTTGCACATACATTCAACATTTCCACGAGGTATGTGTTTTCCAGTGTCAAGATAACAGCACAGAACATCTATCCAGGATGACAGTAATTTGTCCTGTGAAGGAATGCACAGGAGACCTGCAAGCCTCATGTGATATCTGCCAACCCCACAAAGATGTCCAAATACCACCAGAAATCTTTAGTGGCAATAAGATGCTTAACCCGATCCCCTGAAGTCAAATACACTCCTATATCTGTGAGTGTTCACCTGCAAGATATGTATTTACATGAATTTTAAGTGACAGAAACACCTTAATAACGGCCTGTTGACGACATTTGTTAGTAGTTTTTGTGAATAAATATCATTTAAATGTACATTTCATATCTGCCTTAACTTCAGACTACCATCTCTTCTCAGTATGCTAGCATTAAAGACTAACCTCAATCCAGTTATTTCCATTCTAGAAAACTGCATAATGCTACCACATATTAATCCTTAGAAGTGTGATAGTGACAGTAAAATAATTCTTGTTTTGTCACAGACTCTCGAGTCAGTACCATGCTTTTCTCATCTGCACTGAGGAAGATGCTGCCATGTTCAGGAATATACACTCATGTTAGAAAATGCGCAGAAGCAGGGATCTGCTGATTCTCTGAATCTTTACCCTGGCTTGGAAGGAGAGATGTGGAAAAACAGGCTGAGAATGCAGCAGTTGGGAGTTACAAAAAAATCATATATAATAAGATCTACTTACCCAGATGTAGACGTATGCGGCTTTTCGTCTGTACCTGTGTAACAATCAAGAGTCACTTCTTGCAACCCACGTTTTTAAAAGAAATATCCCTCAAACAGACTCCTACTACAGCAGCAAGTTCAGAAATGCACACTTTCTTGTATTTCATGTATTTACATGTTCAGTAGCATCAAGGGAAAAAAATTAACTATCTTTCCTTTAGCATGAACATTCATGCATGGTTTGAGGTAAATCAGTGGCCTGATCCCACCAAAAAGGAATAACCCCACTTCTGGGAAGTGCTTCTACTGTTTAACTTACCCAGTTTCTGGTTCTGTCTGAACCAAGCCCACAGCTGCATGACCTGATTTAACCCAATAACCCAGAAGAAAACGAGGCAAACTACCAAAAGTACAGTTTTCTCCTCATCAGTGAACCCACAGAAAAAAAGCATGACAAACTTTTTCTCTATTCAGCAGCAACAGGCTAACATTAACTCATCAGTCTTGTGCATTCACACACATTTCCACAGGACAAAACAAACCAAAAACATTCAACATGCAAAACGGCCAGACCCTGGCAAGTGCTTGATAAGTATTTTTTCTCTCCTTACCTTTTAGTCTCTTTAACTCTGCGTCTTCTGTATCAACAGTTTTTCTCTTGACAGGATGAGCTGATGTGCTAGGAGCCGCAACAGTTGCTGTCTGCTTTGTGCCTTTTAATTCTGCAACTCTCTGTAAAGAAGTACAAATTTCAGGAAAGCTTTCCTAGCAGGAACTTCTGGATTGCAGCTTAAAATACAGCCCATTTAGAAGAGTTTATTAAAGTGAGCGAGTGTATTTCTAGAACAAGATCACTGAAATAGACATCATGGATACCGAGACCAACGTTTCTGTCAGCCTCTTGAACAGTGTGACACGGGGACAGAGGAATTCACACTTGCACAAGGGAGGCTGTACAAGTGAGAAAGAAAGACTAAGATCAGTGACATTTACAGCAGTAAGGAAAGAGCAACAAGGCTGGACTGATCCTCAGGTCCTGGAATATTAAGTGTTTTAAAACTAAACCACAGTACTATTACACATCATTGTGCCTTGCCACAATTATCTACTCAAAACGCAGGCAATGAACTAGGAATCCCTCCAGTTCTTTTGGTGTTTTCCTCAATACTTTTAAAATTAAATACAACATTTCAGTTTCTGCTAAGCAGCAGTAGCGGAATTTAGAAGGATTAAAAAAAAAACCTAAGATCTAAGGTTGCATCTAAGTTACAATCTCCCTAAAATTATTTTACAAATGCTTTACTGCTAAATTATTCAAACCACATTTTTTCTTAATGACGTGTAAGCTGTCACTTGACATACAGGTAACAAAGTAAACCCAAGGAGGCTTTCCAAGTGCAAGCTGTGGACAAGTGATGGTTATGTGGGAACAGTACCACCTTAAGAGTACGCCCTCTAAAAGACAGGGGACGATTCTCTCAAGTGCTGGCCTTTCAATAGCTACTCAGGCTTTATGAAAACCAAAGACGACAAAACAATCACGCTCGTTTTCACTCTACTCCCTCCTGGCTGATGCTCAACTGTTACCTATTAGCGTACAGCTCAAAAAGCAGCACCCCCCCGGCCTCCGTCAGCGCGGCGCGACCTCCCCTCTCCTCCCCCTTCTCACGTGGTGCCCAAGTACTTCTGAACAACAAAAACGCAGCCAGCGCCGAGCCGAAACCCGCACTGCTCGGCCTAGGGGCGGCCAGGACCATCGAAGCACC